AGAGTCATGTGATCAGAGACAGAGTCATGTGATCAGAGACAGAGTCAGGTGATCAGAGACAGAGTCAGGTGATCAGAGACAGAGTCATGTGATCAGAGTCATGTGATCAGAGACATGAATGATTCCTGCAGGAACAGATGAAACTCCACCAGCTTCAGAGTCACATGATCACCTTGTTACAACTTCTGGAAGTTACAGCTCATTTAAAGAAACAGATATTTTGTTACATTTATGATCAACAGATCTTAAGATTCATTTTATTTAGTTATTTTGGGAAACTTCACCTGCACTTTAGTTTTTGTGGTGGATTTATTGATCTATATTTTGTGCTGACTTTTTCAATCTAAATAACAGAAGGATCTTTTTTAGTTTTATACTTGGAGACTGAATATTTTACTAAATGAAGTTATTTCAGTCAAATTAACCCTTTTTTATTTTATGTAATCCTGCAAAACAACATAAGATAATTTTGTCAAATAAATAACTATGATTTCTGGGGATTTTTTATATCGTGAAATTTATAGTTATCGTCAGAATGCTCTGAAATATCACAATATTATATTTGAGCCATATCTCCCCCCCCCCCCCACTGTGTATCATCAGCATAACAATGAAAATGTATCCCATGCTGTTTAATAACGTAAACGACAAGAAGCTGCTTTTTTTGGACTGTTTGGTTCATATGGAAAGAGAGGACATCCTCAACATTGAAGTGTACAGAAAACCAACACACACAGACCAGTATCTTCTGTTTGACTCCCACCATCCACTGGAACACAAACTCTCTGTCATCAGAACTTTACAGCATCGGGCCGAACACATCCCCACGAAGACAGAAGGGAAGGAACAGGAACAGATATCCTGATACATGCTCAATAATCCAGGTAGAAAATTCTAAAAAAAGTTAAATCTAGTCCTCTGTACATAAAAAAATTTAATTAATTTTAAAAATGTAGAAATGTTTCGTCTGTCATCGGAAAGACTTCCTCAGTCTGAGGTGCTGTATTCAGCTCAGTCTTATAAATAGCACCTTCTCAGAGCGGATCAACCAGTTTGCTGCTGACTGTTAAGATATTTTTGGGCTGGTCCTATGGTTTTGATCTGCTCAGAGACAGGATTATAATGAAATTATGACCCGGTTCTGACTGGGTTAAACTGGGCCAGCAACTCTAAAAAGAGTCTCCCTGGGATTCAATATCTGTCACGAGTAATGACACGGGACATCGAGGCTCTTTTTCCGGGTCTGTGAACGCGTAATAGACGGGAGAGTCCAGCGCTGTAAAATGTAACCTTTTTTTTAATATAATTGATGAAACTTAATCGACGTTTCCTTGATTTATTGATATTGTGAGTTGCCACTTCTGAGGGAGGTTTGAGCCGAGGGGAAACACGTGGGCTGGAGGGGGTTTCCAGGTCCGGTGGCCCGCAGCCAGCTCCAGTCCTAAAACCAGCTGCTCAAATAATGACGTCCTTGATGTCCTTTTCAGGGACACCACCAAGTCATTGGTTCAAGTATGATGATGACACCTGGGTTAAAATCAAATCTCAGGAAGTCCAACATTTTACTGACCACATCAACTCTGTGGATAAATACATCAAGTTCACACGAGAAGATGTAAAAAATGGCAGGTTGGCTTTCTTGGACTGCGAGGTCTCAGTCTCTGATAGAGGACTTTTGCAAACTGAGGAGTACCACAAACCCACCCACACAGACCAGTATTTGCAGTTTGACTCCCATCACCCTTTGGAGCACAAGTTAGGAGTCATCAGGACTCTGTACCACAGAGCAGACAGCGTCCCCACTAGCTCAGGAGCCAGGCAGAAGGAGAAATCCCACACAAGACAGGCTCTAGAGCAATGTGGATATCCTAACTGGGCCTTCCTGAAAGAAGAAACCCAAACAGGACTCCAGTCAGCCAACAGGTGAAAAGGAGGAACCCAGACCCAGACCAGTGGTCATTCCAGATGTTGAGGGAGTATCAGAGAAACTGAGACGTTTATTTTCTAAACATAACGTCCTAGTGGCTTTTAAACCCCAAAATACATTAAAGACTGGTTCATCCCAAAGATCCAGTCCCCCGGCACAAACAGAGTAATATTGTGTATGTTGTTCAGTGTCAGGAGGGTGATCAGTCTTACATTGGGGAAACTAAACAGCCACTGGCCAAATGGATGGACCAGCACAGAAGATCAACATCATCAGGCCAGGACTCTGCGGTCTACACTCATCTCAAGGCCAGCAGTCACTCTTTCAGGGATGAAGATGTTCACATCCTGGATAGAGAGGAACAATGGTTTGAGAGAGGAGTAAAGGAGGCCATCTTTGTGAAAAGAAATCCATCCATTTTCTTCCGCTTATCTGGGGTCGGGTCGCAGGGGTAGCAGCCTAAGTAGGGAGGCCCAGACTTCCCTCTCCCCAGCCACTTGGTCCAACTCCTCCGGGGGAATCCCGAGGTGTTCCCAGGCCAGCCGAGAAACATAGTCCCTCCAGCGTGTCCTGGGTCTTCCCCTGGGTCTCCTCCCGGTGGGACGTGTCCGGAACACTTCACCAGGGAGGCGTCCGGGAGGCATCCTAAACAGATGCCCAAGCCACCTCAACTGGCTCCTCTCGACGTGGAGAAGCAGCGGCTCTATACTGTGTCCCTCCCGGATGATCGAGCTATCACCCTATCTCTAAGGGAGAGACCAGACACCCTGCAGAGAAAACTCATTTTGGCCGCTTGTATCCGAAATCTCGTTCTTTCGGTCGCAACCCAAAGCTCATGACCATAGATGAGGGTAGGAACGTAGATCGATCGGTAAACTGAGAGCTTCACCTTTTGACTCGGCTCTCTCTTCACCACGACAGACTTGTACAGCGCCTGCTTCACTGTAGACGCTGCACCTATCCGCCTCTTGATCTCACGTTCCATTTTTCCCTCATTCGTGAACAAGACCCCAAGATACTTGAACTACTCCACTTGGGGCAGGACCTCCTCCCTGACCTAGAGAGGGCACTCTACCCTTTTCTGGCTCAAGACCATGGCCTCGGATTTGGAGGAACTGATCCGCATCCTGGCCGTGTCGCACTTGGCTGCAAACCGCTCCAGCGAAAGCTGTAGATCACGATCTGATGAAGCCAATAAGACCACATCATCTGCAAAAAGCAGAGACGCAATCCTAAGGCCACCAAAACGGATCCCCTCAACACCTTGGCTGTGCCTAGAAATTTTGTCCATAAAAGTTATGAACAGAATC